TTTTTTTTTTCTGTGTTTATTCTTGTAAGTTTTTGTAGTTGGTAACTTTATCACTAGTATCAAGGTCTCCCTAGGAAATATGTGTTGTTCAGGGATGTCTTGTATGTGTAGGAGGTTCTTGGTTTGTGTTTGTCTGAAAAATCTTTCTCAATTTATTAAGCATGAGATGTTGGTATCTGTTTAGCTCAGGTCTCAGTCCTTTGGTGCTGGGCTTTCATTAGGTTATTACTTCTGAACTTCCCAATATTACTATAGAAGGGAGAATGACTGATTACAACAGATATGACATTCTAGCTAAAGTAGTATAATTAGCAACAACAATAACATCAAGCACAGCTTAGAAATGGACAAACTGTGATAACTATTAGTTTTGAACCTTAAATGGTAGGAGCAAAATCTACAGTTATATAACAGAACCCGTCACAAATTGAGAGCTTGAATATAAAGTGTTTCCCTGTGATAGAGTGATTTTATCTGTGGTAGGGGAATTGAAAAAGGATAGTAGATAAAGCAGAGATAATTGAAGAGACATAAAGTAGAAACAAGGTTGGACGACAAAAGATGATCAAATAAGCTTTGGGGAAATAGAGAAGAGGGCAGAAGAGAGAATGAGAGAGTAAGGAAGGAATTATCTAAGTGAACTAGAAAAATTAGAGAGACTACTCAGTCATATGAAAATATCAAATCTAGAGAGTAAATTGAGGAAGGAGGAAATAAGCCAAAGAGATAAAAAAAATGTGTAGGAAAAAGACAAAAAAGGAAAAGGAAACAAACCAGGAAAGAAAGAAGGCAAATAAAATAAAATAAAATAAAATTAAAGCATAATTCCTCCAGTGCCCAATGATAGCCAAAAACTACTGGATAACACTGCCAAGCCTGTAGTAGAGTTTGTGCTGGGTATGAGACTGATCTTGGCTTCCAGATGTGGGAGGCTGGGACTCAAGTCTTCAGCCACTACTTTCTGCATGTTTCTTAGCAGTCTACCCACTCCTCACACTGTTTCTCTCAGGATCTCTTTCCTAGTTGCTGTGCTGCTTTCAGAGAGAGAGAGAGGGACAGACAGACAGACAGACAGAGACAGAGAGAGA